CTTACACTGACGTGCTTTCTGCACTGTATAGTGAATTTCGAGCTAAGGAAAGTGCACAGCGGTCACCATTCTCACTGAATAAAAGCAATTCTAGTAGAATCAGTAATAAGAATATCAAGGCTAATAAAAGTACTTCAAACTTGGGTAACTAACCATGTTGGTATGCCCATCTGACGCATTTAATTTAACGCGCAATTCTTGAGGGTACTGTATATCGCCTTACCCCCGAGTTTATAATCTTGTATAATGCTCCGCCCATCCGATTACTGGAAAATCTGTGTTCAGACTCCTCGCTGTTCTAGCACTCACTCAGAGATATCCCTCAGATTTTAGGTGGTGAGGGAGTGCATTCTTACCCAGGTGGGCTAGCGGGGGCGAAAAATAACTATACTACTTATCCCTGGGACGGGGTAGGCGTGGCATTCGAACATGGCACAGAACTGGTTACTCGTGGGATATTTCAATTTGAGACAACCGCCATCTTGTTCTTTGTTGGACAGAGACGTGACCACATTTGGGTCAAAATGAAAATATCTCTCCAAAAGCATAGCCACCACGACGTTTCAGTCGCAGGACACGCCTACCTCATCTCGGGGATTCCGAGTGCACATTCTTGGTAGTATAAGCGACCTTAGGTCGACTTAGGGGGGGGGGTCATATTTGGAGTTTCAGTCACATTTGATCTATTCTTGAATAAAGCTTCTGTACTCAAATACTCCAGCACTACGCTTCACCGAATCGGCAACTTTTCAGATTTCCTTTGGGATTCGCGATGGACAATGTGACGCTGGTTCGTAATCTTGGTCATCGGATTCAGATGCGGATCGTTCCTGATCCCGAATTCGCTCCCTTCAAAGGTAATTTCGTAAAGGGACCATCAGGTCTCCAATCGCTCTTATCTCAATGCCCTTCGAGGACGGTCCACATAAGTGCATGCCATTTTCCTTCATTTGCAATGTCGCCCACAGCACTGGTGGCTAATTTCGTTCGCATGCATTATCTCGCAATTGAATGTCCTTTTTCCGAGGAAATGCTTGCTGAATTGATTAGTGGGACACAATGGGGGTTCAAATAACCGGGGGTTTTTTGGATAACCTAGGTAGATCAGGCACTAAAAACAAAACCAGGGCTAACACAAGACATTTTTGAGCTTTTTCTTGTGGCAGGATATCGAAATATGTAGTATTTTTCAGGAATTCGTATACATCAAGG